GTTCTTCAAAATGCAACGTTGTTCCTCGATCAGATGATTTTCAGGAAAAACTTGAAGAGAAAATTCTCTCGGTGTAAAAAGCGTTTTTACTTGGTGAAATGATTGATAAATTATAGATTTCAAATAGCATTCGTATTAAAATCCCTTCGTAGCTCAAAAAGTAAATTTTCCCTCGAAAGAATGGATTTATCCAGGCATATATAAATCTATTCAATTGCGATATGAATTATACATAACGTACTTTATTTTGCCTCATCGCAGATTGCAGGCTGGAGGATGATAAAAATAAATATCATTTTCCAACCCCGACTTAGCCCGCGCAATTGCCGTCGACGTCGTTCGCGAGTCGTCGATTTATCTCAACGGCAAGATCCAGCTTCTCGATCGCAGGTAAAAGCGAATGCGCACTCATATTGCTGCGAGCCGATCGAGCGTATATACCGCGACGAATTGCGACGAAGCGAGCAACGGAATAAAACGGCTAGGAAAGAACGGACCCTTCGGCAATGCACTCGATACCGAAATCGACGATACCATCCATTTCGAAATATCGCCGGCGCAGTTCCGCGCCAAGTGCGGACTGGAATAGGAACCGGTCGGAAAACTATGGTGGAGTATCGTAACGGCGGAACACTTTGTACAGGCATTTGCTCCGCTTTTCGCTATCGTAACGGCAAATAAATATTGCTTCAGTTGCCGGGCAAGATTCGACGCGGCTTAGCGCGGTGAAATACGGCGCGGACCGTGAAGTAAAGCGCAGCGCGCTTTGACATTAACGGCATTACCGCGTTCTCTTTTCATCGCGCACGGCCATCAGTTCATATTAACGCGGGAAGGAATTTCTGTTTCTCGCGTAATTTCGACACATTCTGAAGAGAAGATGGCACATTATAACGTATTCTTCTGCGACAACGCAGCTTTGCTGCGAGAACACACGAGGGCTGCTACGTGGATGCGATTTCCACTGATTATAAATATGCGTTTTTTATCTTGCCTTCCACTTCAAGGCAGCAAACAACTTAAGATAATAAACATTTTGTCATTATAAGTGTATAATGGATTTTATACGCATAGTTTCTGTATGCGTTGCACGATGTGTCTCACTTTGCATTAGTTGTAACAATCCCTCCCCTTTATTCTTAAGTTTTACATACATAATATAGTGCATTCTGCAAACTCCACGTTTCTTGTTATTTAAAATTCGTAATTTGCATACGATAACACTTGCGCATTGAAAAGTTTCGTTTTATATTTATTTGCGGTGAATTTTAATCGTGGAAGGTTGTTGGCGCTATGCATAGACAGCAGGCGTACAAAGATAAAATCAGAAATAAAGGCAGACGTGGCTAAATTTAAAAGCAAAGTGGAAAATTTCACTAGTGGTGTTTTCCACCGAGTTCAAAGCTACAGATCAAACAACTCGGATTACGTGCCGCGACTGGAAGGAAGTTTGGAAAATCATCCGGCGAGAGTGGGCAGTGTTCGTATTGTTCTCGTGACCGGTGTTTGCTTAACCCGCGCCATGACTATAACAAGAAGTTATTGTTGCCACGGAGTGCGGAGAATGCAGAACCTTATTGAATTCGTGCGAGGTACAGCGGGGAAGGGGGGCAGCCTTTGCGTATCGAAAGCCGAGTTCGATAGCTTTCATTTCCCGGTGTTCATCGAAAGTTGAGAGGGAATGCTTTATTGGCGAAACAACTCCTCGCTGAGGAACGTAAAAGTTTGTCTGCGTAATATGGAAATGAGATACGTATGACGTGTATACTGTATATCTTTTACACACGAACACGCATATACATGAAAATTTTTAATTTAAATTAATTAATTAAATCGCAATTCACTAAAAATATTAAATTTCTTAAAATCAAATGTAAAAAAAAATAATTTTTTGAATGCTATATTTAAATTCGTTTAATTCAATAGTCAGAGATGAAGAAAGCACCAAATTTTAATTTTTCATTTCTACGAATAATATATATTAAAATTTATTTAAAAATCTTCCTGTAAATGAAACCTCGTAATATCATTTAATGTTATACTATTTATTTTTTCCTGGTAATGTATTATGTAGACGATGTTATTAATATTTGGAACTGTTGTGTAAACACTGATATAAAATGTATATATCGTATTTTATAAACTTTCCCGTGTTTTTGTACTTTTCACAACAAAAACAACGGCGCGAACTGAAAATTTCCCGTTTTATCGCAGTCATAAATTAATTTCGCCGTAAAGCAAGTGAATTAATTTCGCCGCTAGTAAGAGCGTTTTCAAGGTACCGGCCTTTTTGATCCCGTCACGCTTTCGTTATATCCTGAGCCTCGCTGTGCGATTTCCGCAATTTTCACATGTACCTCGTAACAATTTCAATTTCTACCCGCGCCGAAGTCCCATTTTCCCCGGCATACAATGGAAAATTTTATCGGACGCGTTCTATCTCGCCCTTCTTGTCCGTGCACGGCCGTTCCATTGGGCTTTCCGATGCCACCCCTCAGAAACCCGCCCGTTCTTTTTTTTTATCCCATTCAGCTACTCCTGCGGGATTATGATAATGACAATCTCCGCGATCGTCGAATACTCGGTTAATGGCAAGTCGAGCGATTCATATAAATTGAATGAAACCCGCGCTGGGACGCGTCACACAGCATATTAACTACCACGTGAACGTCACTGGAGCTATACATTAATTCTAGATACGGCATTTTCCTGAAAATGAAAATTGCAGAAACAAATTTATTCGCAATTTTTATTCTAAGGGCAGGTTGCACCAATCTCTTGTTATGTTAACTAATAGTCATATCGTATGTATGTCTTTGTCTTTTCTTTAAGTTAAAAAAGGATAAACACATAATTTAACTAATACACCGGAAAAATGTCGGATTAAATGTAATCGGATAATCCAATTACATAACAAACGGAGATATCCGATTAAATTGTGTATCCGATGAAAAATATGGTCGGTTTTTCGATCAAATTTCATCGGTAACTGGATTTGGTCCGATAAATTTAATCGGATAAGTCAATCGGAAAAATTAACCATCGGAAACACCATTTAATTGGATGATCCAATAAAAAATTTGCTCAGTGTAGTTAGCTTACCAAGAGGTTGTAAAAACTGGCCCTTAACAATGTTAATCAACGCGTTTAATTGCTTGGAAGACAAATAAACTTCATTTCGCTATCATGCACATAGATTAACCGGGAAGTACAAGTAGGTAATTGAGAGTATAATTATTAATATATTTTCTACAAACACGTTACGTTGAACTAATATTGATGGACTGATACGCCGACGATGTTACACAAGTCAATGTTTATAAACGAATATAGTTGCAAGATATTAATTAGCATTTTACAAATCGAATGTTGTAGTCAGAAGTGCGCTAAACGTCATTTATAAACACGTAATCGTCCAAATTAGACAAATATGGCCAGTTAATTATTAGTCTGTTTACTTATAGCGCATAAATTAAATTATAATCATACATCGTACTTGTGAAGCGAAGTGACATGAAGCGTTGTTGAAACACGGTTGTCAACAATTAAAGCCAATTTGTCGAATATTGTATCCGATCTTAATATCCCGTTGAAGCCGCAGCAGGTACACGTCGTTATAGCGCGGGGCGGTGAAAGTGATAGGAAACGGGAAGTGTGTGCACGCACGTTAATATGCTTTACGGTTATTAGTTTGTAAATTATTTGCCTCGATCCAAGATCAAAGAGGATAGTGGTATTCTTGGCGCGAACGGCGCGTCGTGTTTCGCGAATGCTAAACGCAATCGTGCATTGTGCAGGAACTGTGAGTAATGGCGTGACGCTTTATAATCACGGAAGTTCGGGCTTAATCAAGTACTTATTACAATTACCTACGGCATGCGCAACCCGGCAACTTTCAGTCCACTCGCAGCTGCAGCTTCTGATACTGCAAAGGGTTCTGCGTCTAATCTCGTTTGAATGTACGCTGCGCTGAGTTTCCATATTCATCTAACTTCGACTTTGACTTTAGCGCGAGTTATATAGCCCGCTCAATGTTTCATCAGATAAGATTTGTCCACGGGTTTACGTGGCCCTCGTTGAGCTTCGCGATACACACTCTCTTGGACAATATTTCTTCGCAGTTGCGACAATAACACGCGCGATATCTACTATTGCAGTACGTATTTACAGAGTGACTGAGGATATAAAGTATCTGTACTTTTCTATACGTTTCTTATGAATTTTTTTTCCTTATAAAAAGAAGAGTTTCTTTTCGTCAAGATCTGAGGGTGCGTTCCGTTTCACGCATTATGCGCATCATGCGTGAAACGGAACGCACCAAGACTAAAGTGGGCAGAAATATGGAAAAAGGATTTGTTGTCAAATAAGTGTTGGTTTAAAATGTATTACATACAAAGTGGAAATTACAAAAAGTTGTTCTAACATTTTTAATTTTATTACAAGCTATTATCTCTCAAAAGAATTTTATTACTTCTTTCTGCATTAATTAAATAAATGCTGCGTCTGTTTATCTGTATTATACTATGCATTCTCATTACTATTATCAGACCTGTTTTTATAATAAACTAACCAAGCCATGGATTAAGACCTCACATTATGATGCACGCGCGAGAAGGGTTCATTTATATTATAGCTTGAAGCCACAACAACTCTTAATCCGCTGCTGACCATCATGTAAGATTAATTTGAATATGAGATTAATTTGTGCCCGTAAGGCCAAGCTTCTATCTTGCAATAAAAACATTAGCCCCCAGCTAGTCTAAGAGAATAATTTCTAAATTTTATTTTTAACATCTACGTGCGATTTACATACGTTCGTTATATTCTTCAACGCTGAGAAATAATTTGATCGGCTCGGTGCGAATGATGGAGTTGTTTCTTCACGGATACGCAACAATTTGGGCGATACCTAATTTTTCCGGCCCACGGGATAATATTTACAAGATCACCTTGCATTATCCGACATCGCTCTAATACAATATGGCGTATTCTGTTTCCAGGTGGTTCCAGTATCGCCAGCGTGGTAGCAGGGAGCAAGCCGACGAGATCCTGGGACAAACCTCAATTCGACGATATTGCACCGCGAAATGTCACTGCCATCGTCGGTCAGACAGCGGAGCTGAATTGTCACGTCAAACATCCGGGCGACCGTGTGGTGAGTAATATTTTCATCCTACATTTACCACGCATTCGTTGTTTCCCCATTGCGCTGCCAGATAAAAGCCCATGGGAATTTCCATCGGTGATGTACACCGATTCCTCTCAATTTTGCCAACAGCTGTTCGGCTTATCTTTTGAAAGCGTAAGAAAAAACGATCGTAACGATTTTGTAGGATAAGGGATAAGAATCTTATAATGTTATGAAAGAGCGTAAAGCTCTAACTGCGCCCTACGTCAAGGTAGAAAGCCATCAAATACGCTATTCTTCACTCCGTGCTGTTTCACACCTTACCACGTCGAGCTGCTACTCCATTTTTGCCGCCGATCTCGCGGGCTAATCGCGCTGATTAATGTCGCAAAATTGTTAGCTTGAAAAATGATGGCACACAATTTCCACAGTACGGTTCCCGCCTGACGTCAAGTTGTCGTGCCGCTCCGAAATACCCGAAATAGAGATCTCAGATAATGGTACACGCTCTTGAGACCCTGTGTACCGTTAGCGCAAATTGCAAAAGCGCACGCCATGGAAAAGTCGATCGAGCGGATACGCGTTAAGGCTTTTTTCGTTGAGATACAACCCCTTTCTTAAAGCAGCGCTGCAAATTTCCCCTCAACAATGCCATGTTGCGATCCATTTTTTGATAAGTCGCAAAATACGATACTTTCCCGTGACGCACAATAATCAAGTCCTTCCCCCGTTTCTGCCATTCCTAATTTCTAACGTGGATATGTTACATATGAGCTACGGGCGTATACTTGACAAACTTTATATACCGTCCGTGTAAAATTGAATTATAATCGATATGCTATTTGATCGCTGAATACATTTGTTCTCGAGCAACGTGTCGAGGGGACAAATATTTCTATTTAACACGCTTCTACTCCACGTGCACGGTGGCAGATATTTGTTTTCCTAGCTGCAATTAATGCCGCGTAATTGCAAAGTCGCGTCGCGATTGCGCGCGAGGCGCGCGGCAACTTTGCGCGGGTCGGCACAGGAAATCTCCTCCAGAAGAACGTTTATCGTTAGGATGCAAATGGGGCGGGGAAACTTTCAAAGTCTCTCGACAAGCGAACAATAACGCTGTCCTGAGACAGTTCGCCTGTAACTGCAAACAGTTACGGGGCGAACTCGCGCGATCCAACGTGCGGCGCAACACCACCGTTTCACGGGGTCCGCGTGTAGAATGGCGACGCGATAAAAACGCGCGCGGACATTCTTGCTGCGCTGCATTTACAACGGCCGGCAAGAAACGCAGCGGGCGAGTTCTCTCGGCCTGATTAAATGCAAATCTCGCCGTTATTACAGGGCAACACGGTTTCTTTAACGTCGCCATTCAATTAACAGCCGTAAGATTTCTTACTTTTAAATTGGTAAATAATAATTTACGCGCGCCACGTCGGACTCGTGGGCGGGCGCGATCGATATAGATCTCGCGCTTTCCCGAGACGAGGGCGTCGATTCTGTATGCAACATGGTGACAATGCTACGCTGAGAAAAATGTCCGATTAAATATAATCGGATAATCCAATTACATAATAACAGACGGAAATATCCGATTAAATTGCATATCCGATAAATAAAAAATGTGATCGGCTTTTCAATCGAGCTTCATCGGTAATTGCGTTTCGTCGGATAAATTTTATCGGATGTATTCATAATTTAATCGGAGAACGTAATCGGAAAAATTAGCCATCGAAAACGCCATTTAATTGGTTTATCCGATGAAAATTTTTCTCAAGTGTAGAAGTGAGCGGCTTTGTCCCTTTCTAAGGGGACAGTTAGAAAGAGACAGAGCGACTCACTTGTAGCATTTTCACTACAGTGTAAGACACGAAATTGACCCGGAGATCTTGATCTTTAAGATGACGCATTTACGGCAAAGAAATATTTACGGCGCCGTTAAACCTTATCGACTCGCCGCGAATTGTTTTGGGTATTATCTTCGACAAGCATTAACGGGTCGTTAAACTTTAACGAGCCACTAGCGCTGAAGATACACGGAAAGTCAAATGTGCAATCCTCGCTTTACAGGAAATTCGAGTTTCGAACGCCTGTAGATGGATATCATCATTTAACTGTTACTAATTACTGTTCCAGATTGCACTTGTTGTATATATATAGATGTTAATACTAAATATTTCAACTGGGCGTAATAGATGTTTTTCTTATCATCAAGTATTTCAAGTACATTCAAGTATGTTCGGAGATTTCTTGGTACTTCTTTCTTCTCCTTTTTCTCATTGCAATCAGATAAAATGAAGTGTCTTTAATAAAGTAATCCTTAATTTGTTATATTAGTGTGCCGAAGAAGAACATTGTATTGTTTCGAAACGCGCCCACTTTTCAACATTGTCGCTTTTCATTTACAGCACCTAGACGTTTGACCTCAACATTTGCATTTAATACATTAATTTATATATTTTTTATACGATAAATACGTCTTGTGGGGTTGCTACAAGTTGAGAATGTTGAGAGCGCCATTTCTGAATTTGATCACCTCGTATTATTTTTATTAGTATCTTGTATTTGATCTGACTGGAACTTGTATGCAAATTTTAATTTCACAATAAATTTACGGAGGCATCCGGAGTAAACTTATCGAAACAGTAATTTCGGACGATTCGCATAGTTCAGCAAGAAGTGTTTCTTCCCCCCGAACTGTTTGCAAATACAAACGAACACCTCGGAGTCGGTTATTGTTTGTTCTTGGATACTCTGGGCGCCGACGCGAGTGTTTGTGAATTCGTTTGCATTGTCTCAACCTTGTTACCTGTTTGGAAATGTACGTCTCTAGGTTCATTAACACTTTGTGCAGCGTGGGGCGATAATGAAGTGTGTCCTGATGGAATAATTATCTTTGTGCGTAACTAGGGACGTAGAGTCGTCCATTTTGCCGCGACAATTTATTGTTCTTTCGTGCACATTCGATACCCGCGCGGTACGACGCCCCTCGTGCGAATAACGCTCACATAATAAAAACGTGCGGCCCGCGCGACACGCGAGCACGTTTAAAGAGAACAATTACGCGTTAATTCGCTAAAATCCATTTCTCAGTTGATCTACGCCAATTACATTAGCTGACTTGTGTCAAGCCGCGCGGTTTCTGGGATATTGTACGTCGGGCGCCAAGCGGACTCGATTTATACGTAAATGCTCGCATAATTATGGGTGTTTATCCGATTTAACGTACGTATCGACGCGGTATCAATATGTACATTAAATCCATTAAAGTTACGTAATGAACAATTGTGGTTTAATGTTTATTTTACACTGCATATTCGCGTATTATTGCATTATGGGGCGCATAATACGATCGCGTCCATCGCATACGGATGCGCATTACACATTATTAATATCATTCGTTCAATTTTGATCGCGCCCGATCGTCCGGAAGTTTTGCAGCGTTTCAGCAAAGTCGTTATCACGCCACTTGATTAGCCACTCTCCAATTGCGACAAAATATTTTCTATTTTCCAACTGACACAAGTTAATGTTCACGATTGCCACAGCGTTGCATCAGTCTCACAAATTAATATTATTAAACTGTAATGTTGCAAACGCAATGCAGTCAATTGTCTACTTTGCTCTTCTGCGCGTCGAATGATATTTCGTAAAGTTTTATTAATTTTAATAAGTTCTAAAAAGCGCAAAGAACATCGACGCGATACTGTTGATATATAACGATCAATCGTTTGATACTTGCTGGCTACACACAACAGCTGCAATCTCAACAGGATAGTACGTAACATCGTTATCACGGAGTTTTATTATTTTGAAACGGAGCAATCGTCCTCTTACTTTAACGCATCATTGAGTACCCTCGACTATCGTAACAAGAGAGACGGTCGTTAAAGTCGTCTTCATTCGCTCCTGAAATTCCCAGGAGTGCACGCGCTATATTGTGTGTTTGTTCATCCGTGTAGTATACCTATGTATATGTGCAGGACGAATACGAGGATCAGACCTGGATGTTCTTTTCTGCTCAAAAAATAATTCGCTGAACTTATTTCTCACTGTCTGACTTCGTGGCAATTAAAACAATCACCTCTCTCTTTAATTTGGCCTGTAAAAGAGAACAATTTTTTTCCTTACGAGCGAGAGTTTGCTCTGAGAATGTTAAAAGCAACTATTATATTTCATTTTTCATATTTGATGTTATTAATTTATCAATTATTACACCAAGGACCAAAAACTTGGTTTCCTCCGTTAGGAGGAATGGAATCAAGGGGGAGGGAAGGGAAAAGGGAAATTCTAAAAATCGCATATCGACAGGATATTGTGCGGTCGACAATCCGTATCGACGCACAGTTTCTGGAGAGTCGAAATAGATGCGTAAACAACATCTCAAAGTTATATACACGTTATTGCGAATAGTATTATCACAGCCCCGGTGGTCGAGCTGGCTAAGACGCCCGTCACGGATTGTAGGGAGGTCCCAGGTTCGAATCCTGACTGGGGTAATATTTTTCGCAATAATTTTAATAGCTTGATGTGGTCAACAAAAATCGCTATAGCCAGTGTAGGTCGATAAAACTTATGAAATTTTTGTATTATATTTCAAATACTTTGCAATAGACAGCATTCCAAAAAATGATCTTTAACCTGCGGCGACAATTTTCTAGGCACGAAAAAACAATTGAGATATATAAATGAATAGCCAATACTGCGAAGTCGCATATGTCTTGTATTTAATCGATTTAAATAACAGTAACCGAATTTCTATCTCAACTGTTGGCGAATGTTAGGAAGAAAGTCTTTCTGCGACGCCCATGTTTTATATCGTTTGACTGTGATACATAAACAGTTGTATTCCTTACGAAGATTGTTCTAGCTTTACCGAAATTTATTTTTATCCAATGCGAATGATTAATATTTAGTGATGAAACTTAAACTTTCCAGAAAGTATTACTAGAATGTTGCTGCTATAAATTTTGTAGGCTACAAATAATTTTCGAAAGGCCTGTGCCCACGAGTGCTAGAACTTGGTCCAA